GTATCTATCATCCATTAAAACTTTAGGAAAAAAAAAAAAGAAAGAGAAAGATGTTCTTTAAATTTGGAATTGCACGTGGGTATTCAACTATGTAGTGACGCCACTGCTATAAAACACCATAATAGGATTATTCCAGAAAATTTCATAGTAAAACCTCTCTCATCATCAGAAAACAATCAGTGACTGCAAGTTTTCTCGGATTGGAATAACACACATCCATTATAAATAATAAGAGTTGTCTGTCATTGAAGGTAACACGAGAGGTTTAAATGCAGCTCAGCTCGTGCTTCAGCTCAGTATTTTTACTGAGCTGTTTGGGTACTTAAGGAGGAACATTAAGGGATTTTATCCCCATAGTCATTAAAAAGATATGTATCTTTTATACAAAAGCTTCTAACTGAAAGGAACAAACAGAAAAAAAATCCTAGGATAACACACCCACTTTTATACAAATTCTAATTACTTTAAGGCAAGTTCTTTGGCAGAGTAATTGTCACTCTCAGCTTCTAATCCAGATGGTTATTTTTTTTAAAGTGCTGGTTTTAAATTATGCATTTTTCTTTCACATGTGTTTCCCTTCAGGCACTTTGAGTTCTCTTATTTATTCTTCAATACAAATGTAACCCCTACACTGAATAAGAGAAAATCTCAAACATCCATCAGCTACAACAGCTCACTGGTCATTTTTGTGGCTCTCCTCTGGATCTGCACCAACAGGTCCACATCCTTCTTGGGGGTCGCAAAGCTGGATGCAGCACTCCAGGTGGGGTGTCACGAGAGCAGAGCAGGGTAGAGGGGCAGAATCACCTCCCTCGATCTGGTAGTCATGTTACTTTTGATGCAGCCCAGGATATGGTTGGCTTTCTGTGCTGTGAGCACACATTGCAGGGCCATGTCCAGCTTTTCATCCACCAGTATTCCCTTCTCCACAGGACTGTTGTCAATTCATTCATCTCCCAGTCTATATTGGTACAGGGCGTTGCCTCAAGCCAGGTGCAGGACCTTGCACTTGGTGTTATTAAACTTTATGATGTTTCTACAGGCCAATCCTCAAGCCTGTTAAGGGCCTCTGGATGGCATTCCTTCCCTCATTCCACCACTCAGCTTGGTGTCATCCAAAAACTTGCTGAAGGTGCACTCAATCCCACTATCCATTTCATTAATAAAGATATTAAATATTATTGGTCCAAAAACAGACCCCTGGAGGAACACCACTCAGCACTGGTATCTTTTTGGTTGTGGCCATACAATTCCCTATTCATTTAATAGTCCATCCACCAAATCTATGTCAATTTAGCAGCAAAAGCGTTAGGGGGGCAGCATTAAAGGCTTTACAGAAGCTGTAGGTAAGTAACATCAGTTACTCTTCCTTTGTCCACTGATGCAGTCACTCCATCACAGATCACTAGATTAGCCGGGCATGATTTGCCCGTGGTGAAGCTGTGTTGGCTGTTTTTAATCTCCTTCATATAATCATCTTCCATATGCTTTGACATAACTTCCAGGAAGACCTGCTCCATGATCTCATTGGGCACAAAAAGTGAGGCTGACTGGTCAGCAGTTCCCAGCATCTGGATGTGATACTCCCTCTCCTCCAGTCACTGAGGTAGTTACTGGTAATACTGGTATTCACACTGTGAATGGTAGTCACAGCTTGACTATCATGACTTTTCAAATATGGTGGAGGATGGTTTAGCAGCTATACCTGCCAATTCCCTCAGAACCCTGGGATGTTTCTTAGACCAAAAGTAACATCATATATATTCCAAATCATCCTTGCATTTCAAATCTTTATGCTTGATACTCATTTCTTTTCCATTTTCTTGCTGCTGTTGGTAAAGAGCCTTTAATGGGATTTTGATAAGAAAATTTAAAAAGAACAAAAAACCCAACACTGCTCCACAAGTTATTTTATAGGTTTAATATTTGTTTTATTTTCATAACCATTTTGATGGAGAAGGAAAAAAAATGTAGGATCAGAGGTTGGAAAGATCCAGAGGGCATATGGTATAATGGTTCTACAACAGTAAGACAGCCTGTAAATCTTTGTGCCCTGAGACTATATTCTTTTCCTGCCTGTAGGTGGATGAATAATCAACACGGTGCTGGCAAAGCATATCTCACACTCCCCTCTAGTGCCCATGGAGCACCACCACCTGCCAACAGCCCAAGGGCCAAAGGCCTCTTGGCGGTCTGGACAGCTCTGTTGCTAACACAGCTGTTCCCAGTGTGATCCCACATAATTAAAGCTGAGGTTCTTAGTTTTATTGTAAAGTAGGATTAACATTAAGTTAAAAGCCCTCATTTTAGACAGGAGAGAATTTTTGAAGGACTAGTATATTATTTTCCCCTTGTGCACATGCACTGTATTACATCACATATTTAATTATGAAATCATATGTGATTAGTGTTACTAATATGTGCATTGCAACAAACATGCACCAAGGTTAACAAATTTGTCCATGTGTCCTTGAATTCTAAACATCCTTTTACTAGGTCCTTTCCTACAGTGGCCATGCAGCCTTCATGAACTTGGAATTACAATCTTAAAGTGTTCTTCTGTAGACATAATTTCTGTCTGGACATGTACTACCTTAACACAGAGCCTGAGAGAAAAAACTCCATAGCTGCTGAAACAGCAGCCTACTGAGACACAACACTTGGAACATATTTTCTGAGGCACCATTTATCATTGTCATCACAGTGCCCAAAAACTTATTACAATAAATTGCACTTGCATATCACAGAACAGTTATTCTCAACCTTAAAATAACAATACCAACTCATAATTGTATTAAGAGTCGCAATAATCTTAAAATAATTCTAAAAATAAAACCTATACATGCTAATGAGGAAACATAATCAGCATAAAAACTATCACCTGCCAGCTTTATAACTACAGTCATTATAGATAATTAAATGGCTGCAGCAAGGGAATACTTTGTTTTCTACAAGCATTTGGGAGTCTTCAAAGCACTCTCAGGTGAAGAGAAACAGCAAGGAAGAGACTAACTTTGTAAGTCCTACAATATGAGAAACACTCTTCCATCAATTTGTAGAAAGAGGGATGCCATGCTCTCTCTCTCTCTGTAATTGCAGCCCTTCCTTTGCTTTATGTCTATCACCTGATATTTTATAATTCAGGACTTTCATGGGCAGGTAGAAACTCCAGTTTATTACTAATACCTCAAAATTAGTAAAATATACTGAGCTGCTGCAAGCATAGCAAATGTGAAGAAGGCAAAAGAAAAGTATTCAGTGTGGCTGTGAATTGTCATTTAGTTCAATGTCTAAATAAAATAACATGTCGACTGGGTTTTAAGCAGCTTCCAGAACAGATCTGAACCTGAAAACATAAGGTACCAGAAATACTGAAATACCACAACACACAACTAAAGCAGCACAGAAAGTAGTTTCTCTCATCCAGGAGACGACAAAGAGACAAGAAGACACGGAATAACTTAAGAGCACATGAAGTTTGGTATTAAACCTGTTTCCCTGGGTGATAAGATGTAAATGTAGCTTGGCTGTCTCCCTGACAAGACACATCATTCACAGCTGATAAAACCTGGGAGAAAGAGGACAGTTGGGAAAAATGTTGAGAAAGGCTGGAAGACTTCAATAGTGGTGAAGAGGCCAAGTGAATCTATCTAGTTAACTTACTGTTCCTGCAATAGGGTAGAAAGTGAAACATTTAAGTCTTATCATTACCAACTTTTAAAATGCTATATCTTACTTTGTGATAACTAAAACAAAAGGATGGGAGGATGAGCTGTGTAGGAAAAAAAAAAAAACAACAAAAAAACCCCAACCAAACCTCTACCAACAAGCCAAACCAAGAACAAGTAATGGCATAAAACTGTAGCTTTTGCTTGTTCCAAGTTAAAGTCAATGTGTCCTGTCCCACACTTATGTTTTTAAAAAACTTTCATGTTGAGAAGCTATAATGGCAAATTATCAGCCTGTATAATGTCAATGTAAGGAGTGGCTAGTAGATTTTCACGGAAACCTCCTTATATACTGGTAGTGATAATCCTGCTCTTTTCACCACTTTTAAAATTATTATTTTAAATGTCCATTTCATGGTTAAACAAAATTGATTTGGAACTGTCCTATAAGTGACAATTCTTATACGTTGACCTAATTACTGACCTGATTCTGTAGATGTAAGAGTTTAATGTCAGAAGAAACTATGAAATGCAGACTGGATTTAAAAAAGAAAACAGGGTAATTGCAATATGAGTTACTTCTTCAGGAACGCTTGTGTATCCAATGACAGCTTTGCTATCACAGTCCTCCGTTTTGCTAATTTACGTCATCCCTCTTTTTACTAGCATAGCTATTGGAGCAGTACTTTTCCAGTGAGGTTAGTTCCCTTATCTAGCTTACCACGAGGCTGCATAAAAAATCACAGCACTACTAACACCAACCAGACCTTTCGCTACTCTTGAAGATTTTGCTTCTTCAGGTTTGCTGGCAGCTGCCCCGACAGTCCCCAGGGAGCGGCAGGTGGGAGCGGTTCCGCCCGGCACCCGGCCGGGACAGCGCCTCGTGCCCCGGGCTCAACACCGACGGCCACCACCTGGCTGGGGAACCACCAGCACTGGGGGTTCCCTCACAGGCTGGGAGGAAAAACCGTGGTTTAGGCAGACTTTTTTTGTTGTTGTTTGGTTGTTTGGTTGGTTTTGGTTTGGTTTGGTTGGGTAACCCCCCAGGTAGAGTGCCCCACCCTATAGCTGCGGCGCCCCGCCGGCTACAACACCCGCCGAACCGCGCCCTTGGGCGGAAGCTCAGCCTCCCGCAACCACAAGCCGCTCTGTCCAGACCACCGGACAAACTCGGACTCTCTAATTCGCCCGGCCTGACCAGCGGAGCCGCTCCGCGGCCCGGCCGGGCGCGCGGGGGCGCTGCGGCTTTACGAGAGACCCGCGCACCGGCACCGCGCTGCGGCCCCGCCCCGCCCGCGCAGCGCAGCGCGGGGCGGCCGCGCAGGGGCGGGTCGGGAGCCGCGCTGGTGGCGCGGCGGATGAACCGGGGGCCCGGCCGCGCCCGGAGCGCGGGCGCTCTGACGGGCCGCAGGGCCCCGCTCCGCCCATGGCCTCCCTGCTGGTAAGGGCTCGGCCCCGAGCTCCAATCGCCGGCGAGGGCAGCCGAGCCGCGGCCGGCGGGTGTCGCCCGGCGCCGAGGGCTGCACGGCCGTGACCGCCGCCCCCGCCGGTGGGAGCGCTCAAGGCGCCGGGACTGCTGGGCTCCCGCCGCGCGCGGGGCGTTAGCGGCCCCTTCGGGGGCCGCCCCCGCCCGCAGCCTGACGGTGCGCACCCTCTCCCCAGGAGGACCCCGTCCTGATCCGGCCTTTCCGAGGCCACACGGCGGCGGTGACAGGCGTCGCCTTCAACGCGGACGGAGCAGGGCTGGGTGAGTGCGGGGCCGGGCGCCGTTTGCCTTCCGGGCGGGGCAGCCCACTTCTTCCTCCCTCCCTCCCTCCCTTCCCGGCAGCTGGCGGAGCCGCTCGGCTGTTCCGGGCGCAGGTCCGGCCGCGGAGGCGGGGCGGGCTCCCGCGCCGGCCGGGCGGGCCGAAGAGTCTCTGCCCCTTCCTTAAGCGACAACTTTTTGAGCAAACCACAGGGCGGGAGGAGGGGTTTGTCCCGCGGAGAGAGAGGAGGAGGAGGAGGAGGAAGTAAGGGGAGCGCCGAGGCCGGAGGGGCAGGGGGCTGCTCCGTGCCTCCGCTGCTGCCCCGCTCCCCCCGCGGTCCCTGTGGAATCTGCTGGGCCCGCCGCGGCCGGACTGCTGCAAACTGCCGGCGGCCCGAGCCCACAGCTGGGACTGCCTGCGGTCCCCTCCGCCCCGGGGGCGCGGAGGGAGCCGACAGGACTTCGCGGAGCCCCTCTCTGTTACTAGCTGCTTTTAACCACCTACGATGAGGATCCGTCTGGCGAGAAGATGGACGTGGGTCCGTAAAAGCTGCATGTTCCTCGGCTTCTTGACGATCGCTTACTTTGTGGTCGAGCTGTCGGTTTCTTCCTTCGGTGCCTCCCTCGCCGGAGAGAGCATCACTAAAGGGAAATGGGAGAGGCGCTTTTCTGACAGAGCAGAAGAAGCTGTAGATTTGGCTCGTCCAGTTTATGACAAACCCCCGCCTGATCCTCATGCCCCAGGAGAATGGGGTAAACCCTCTCGCCCGCAGCTGAGTCCCGAGGAGAAGAAACAGGAAGAAGAGCTGATCGAGAAGTATGCAATTAATATTTATTTGAGTGATAAAATCTCTCTCCACCGGCACATTGAAGATAATCGACTGAGTGGTTGTAAGACTAAATCTTATGACTACAGAAGACTGCCCACTACATCTGTTATAATTGCTTTTTACAATGAAGCCTGGTCAACATTGCTGCGGACGATACATAGTGTTCTTGAAACATCACCTTCAGTGCTTCTGAAAGAAATTATACTGGTGGATGACCTGAGCGATAAAACGTATTTGAAGGCTGAACTTGAAAAATACATAAGCAGTCTGAAAAGAGTTCGCTTGATAAGAACCAACAAACGAGAAGGATTAGTTCGTGCACGTTTAATTGGCGCTACCTTTGCTACTGGTGATGTCCTCACATTCCTAGATTGTCACTGTGAATGTGTCTCTGGCTGGCTGGAACCATTGCTCGAGAGGATTGCTGAGAATGAGACTGTTATTGTTTGTCCTGTCATTGACACCATTGACTGGAAAACATTTGAGTACTACATGCAAACAGCAGAGCCCATGATTGGGGGCTTTGACTGGCGTCTGACATTCCAGTGGCACTCGGTGCCTAAACATGAACGTCTCAGGCGCAAATATGAAACCGACCCAATCAGATCCCCAACTATGGCTGGTGGCTTGTTTGCTGTCAGCAAGAAATATTTTGAGTACCTGGGTACCTATGATACAGGAATGGATGTTTGGGGAGGGGAGAACTTAGAATTATCATTTAGGGTTTGGCAGTGTGGAGGCATGTTGGAAATTCATCCGTGCTCCCATGTGGGTCATGTGTTTCCAAAGCGTGCACCCTATGCTAGACCAAATTTCCTTCAGAACACGGCACGTGCTGCTGAGGTGTGGATGGATGAGTTCAAAGATCACTTTTACAACAGAAATCCATCAGCAAGAAAAGAAAACTATGGAGATATTTCTGAGAGAAAGATACTTAGAGAGCGTTTGAAATGCAAGAGTTTTAACTGGTATTTAAAAAATGTATTTGCTGAGTTGCACGTACCAGAAGATCGTCCTGGCTGGCATGGTGCTATCCGCAGCACAGGAATATCTTCAGAGTGCCTTGACTATGTCTTACAAGAACATAATCCTACTGGGTCTCACCTTTCTCTCTTTGGCTGTCATGGTCAGGGAGGCAACCAGTTTTTTGAATATACATCAAATCAGGAGATTAGATTTAACTCTGTAACTGAGCTATGTGCTGAAGTTCCTGAACATGAAGACTTCATTGGTATGAGGAGCTGCCCAAAAGATGGTTCTCCTGTGCCAGAAATTATTATCTGGCATTTCAAAGAAGATGGGACTATTTATCATCCTCATTCAGGGAAGTGCCTTACTGCTTATCGTACAACTGGGGGGCGTGCAGATGTGCAGATGAGAACTTGTAATGCTGCAGATAAAAACCAGATGTGGAAATTTGAGAAATAATCACTGCTGGTAGTATGAATTGAATGGACTCTCCAAGGTTTTTGGAGTAATCTCCAAAGTTTTTACGTGCATGAACAGATAGCAACATTTGATTGAATACTTTGGAATGTTTTCAGATGTGTCTGTAGTGGTGTAGAAACTATCTCTTGTGGTCAACTGTATAGAAAGCAAAAGTAAATCCTGGAGTTTGGTTTCTAAAACATGGAATACAGATCTAACGCCTTTTATTTTTGTAAAATTTTGATTCATTATTTTCTTACTTTGGCCTGTCTTGCCTATGGTAAAACAAAGGCTTTTGAGTGGACTAAGACGGGGTTTTTTTGGCTTAATAAAAAAAACAATTATGCAATAATCCTGCAAGATCACGTTACATGAAAGTAACGAATCTTTACTTACAGAAGTAAAAGTTAGGGTTCTTGCAGTGGTATTAGCTGACCTGTGTTGCAGATACGTTATAACATATGTGTCTAACACCATAAGTAAGGCATGTGATTGAATGGACATTGATGTGGAAAATTGAATCTAAGCCTTGTAATATTCTGCATTTTTCTAGGAACGTACCTGTTGTTAGGGGTAACAACTAGCTTATTACATAGAAGAACAGGAAGTTTATTTAGTAGATGGGCTTTGGCACTGCTTTGCGATGTTGTACCTGTTGTAAAAATCTTACCTCATGGGTGTTAGTCAGGAGCCCTCATGCATTTAGAGAAGAGTGTGGTGGCAGAGAAACCAAGGACATGCTAATGGTACCACAAATGGGACAAAATAGGGATGGCAACAACTAAGAATTCTGTTTAAAGGTAGTGGAGAAGGAAAGAAAGCACAGAATTGCATTAGGTACTATGTTTTGTTAGCTGTATATTTAATATTTACATTGCCTCTATGTAAGCTTTTCCATGTTCAGCCTCACATCCTAGGAACACAAAACTTGTGTTCTAGACCATGTATCCCTTTTTTTTTTTCATTTGATCTGTCAGTGGAGGAGAGGAAGGTAACAGAGGAAAACTCGGGCTGTTTTGTGTTATGGCAACAGCTGGCATGGATCAGTCCTAGACAGAGTTTTGAAATAATGCAGCATAAGCTGCCTCTTTCTAGTTACAACAGTAGCACAGGAGACCTTGGATGAGGTTAAGAAGCTGGCATTGCTGACATGAGGGGAGTTGAAAAGGCAAAAGACAGCTTGGAGGAAAACAAGATTTGTGGGGAAGCTGTTTAAGCCACAGAATGGCTTATTCAGAATGTTTTGTCTATCCTGTTATGCTGAGTTCTGAAGAATATTGATTCTTGAATCGTGTCATTAATCTGTTTTGAGCGTGATTATAGATGGTAGATGTGATAGATATATTGTGTGTTTGAAGAAAAATCTTGTGTTAGTATCTGTTTTTTAGATTTATGTGATTTATATGATTTAAGTTGAACACTTTTCTTAATATTTTGGGCATTCCAACTTTTTTGATTGCTTTCACTGAAGTGATAAATATTCTTCAGTAGCCACAGTGTAGTAATTCTTGACATGGGGCTGGTAGGTAGGAACTCAAGCTAGTGAGAAAGTAGGTGTGCATTTGCTGCAGGTGTTAGTAGGTAGAAAGGTTAAAAAGGGGTGAGACCTGATGTAGTTGAAGTTTTGCCAAGAATAAAGCAAGAGTAAATTAAGACGTATTTTTAAATCTTAGTGGTTTGAAAGCATTGAGAGGTTTGGGTGGAAGCAGGCGGAACGGAAGAAGAAAATGTGGAGCTTGGGATGTAGAATTGAATCATGCTAAAAATGCTTGCCACTGTGTGGCATGGGTTCTTTTAAGTCCTTAACTTATTTTTAGTCAGTTACTTGCAGTTTAATATTTTTTTATTTTTTTTCACTAAACTTTTTTTCTGTTTTTGTTTTTTTTTTTTTAAAGGAACTTTTTGCTACATAAGGGAAACGTTCCTGAAAAATTCCATTCCACTCTGCAGTAAGGAATTCTTTTGTGAACCTGCAAGTTATGAATCATTTATCAAATTTTAAAAGGCAGCCAGTCATTATGTACTGGAGCAGTTAATTAAATAAAGTATGTGCTTTTCTGAAAAGCTTGCTGTAGATTCTTATATTCAATAGAAATGACAGGAAAAAGGCCTAGGTTCTCCTGTATGGCAGGATGAGTTGAGTTGAGGTATGAGTTGTATATGCAATGCATGTTTCCTCAGATGAAAGCAATTAAATGGTGTGAATGTAGACTATGCAACTTTTATACAGTTAACTTTTTTAGCACTTGGCGAAAACTGCATTTCCTATAAACTACCTTCATGTTAGAACTGACATTCGAAGTGTTCCTTATCTATTTAAGCAATAATTTTAAGTGAATCTGCCTCTTAGTTTGAAAGTTATTCTCTCTGCATATATCTAAACCCTCCTTCCTCCCCATGACCTCCCATTCTATTTTTGGAGTTATTTATAAACTAATTGGAAAAAAAAAGTGGAAGCCCTCAAAAAAAAATCTTCCTGATGGGAGTAAAAAATATGGGAATAAAAGGAGGAGGGACTAGAGAAGGAGAGAAAAAGAAAGAAGAGAAAGAAAACCTACCTTGCCATTTCATTCAACTAGTTTTGAATTGAGTTGCGGCAACTCTACAGAAATACTCCAGTTATATTTCAGTATGTATAGATTTCTGGAAAATCTGAAACTCTGAATGGTTTTCTATTCTTTTAGACTTTGAAAATTTGGGAAACGCTTGTACATATTTTAAACTACTGATTCTAAGTGACTTAAAAAAATTGAATGTAAACGTAACACTGAATAAATGTGGAGGGCCTTGGGGTTTCTATTAAAAAATAAAATCCAGAATGACAATTAAATGTTTACTAGTGTGCTGACTCTTCAGTTCTCTTTCTCTTGTGTAATGTATACAGTGTGCGATAAAAATTGTCATGAACTTGAACTTATGTGAGTTATTAGAAGTTCCTTGTGTTTTACCCACTGTGCTTAGAGTTCCAGATTGGCTTTCTTGACTGAAGTTCAATTAATAATTGTTTTTTGCCAAGTAGGAAATCTTGCAATTCACAAACATGTTTGTATTGTGATGTTGCACCTTATGACACTGAGAGTTGCAAAGTTTCTGTAAAGTGTGGGGGTTTGTTGGTAGTGGTGATATTTGAATGTTCACACACCCATCATGTGCACAACCCTGTATTCCATCTACCCTGTAACTCTTGCATTGAGCAATTAATTATATTAGAGATGCTTACTTTGAGAGAGGTACATCTAGGTGTTAAAACCTGCTGAGTTTCTCTTCTGATCTTTGCACAATTTTCTTTGTCACCACTGTGGTACTGTGTGAGTGAAATGGTAATTCTGTATTACAGTAACTTGTGTCTTCATATATATGTGGGTATATATGAAAATGTATACCATAGTATACAGTCACAATTTATAAATTGAACTTTGTTTCATTGCAAATACCACACAATTTTTTCGTGGCATACCTGAAGCTCAGATATCTGTTTAGAGATCTGCACCAAAGTGGTGTGTAAACTTGGCCTTTGCCTAAGGCCAAGTCTTTATTCTTGGGTGTTCAATTCTGTTATGACTCATCAGCAGAAAATCAAATTACCCAGTGACTTATCAGCTATACTTGCATGTGTACAGAAGCACTGATGTTTAAAAAAAAAAAAGGCACTTGGGCTAGAAACTGGACTAAGTTGCATATTGGATTCAGCTCAGTGTGAATTTTCAGCTTTCTACTTTTTAGTTGTATTTTGCAATTGATCAAATATTTTCATAGCAAGGACATGTCTCTGGTTGTGTCATGTGTTCTCTGAGGAGCAATAGACCTGTTTGTGCTATGGCACATCCTAAAAAATTCTTATGGACCTTCTGTATTTCTTTTGTTTCAGATCCAGTACTTTAAATTAGCCTTGGAGATCTGTTCTGGACTATTTAGTGGTGATTTGGTGACTGAAAGTCACCAAAATAAAGGGTGCTGATATAATCAGTAAATGCTGTCAGAATGTATCATCTGTGCAGCCTTAAAGTACTGTGCTTGAGTAAATTGGAGAAGCAGCATTCTTATAAAGTAGGCAAAAGCCCTTAGAATGGAATAAAGAGAAATAGTGACGTTTACTTGACCAAAGTACATTTTCATGGATAAAACTGGTTTTAAAATTAGTATTGCTGTCAACATACTATGTACTCTTGTATTTTCTGCTTGTGGTTAGTTAAGGTAAAACGTTTACCATTACAGTGAAATGTTTGGGTGTTAGCCATATGCACCAAAATCTTTTTCAGCCCGCTTGAACAGGGAATAGTTTGGCTTGGCTGAGCCTCATTAATGTTAAAGGGACTGATTTCTCTGGCAGGATAGGGGCCAAAGTTCAGTATAGATGTAGAGTTTTGGCTTAGAGTTTCTTTGTCTCTCCCATGGTGTTCAAATATAGAATGACATCAGCCCGTGTGCCTTAGGAAAATATTTCCGTAACGGGTCTGTCAGTTACTCACCCTTTTCTGTGCAAATCCTGAACCTTCTTCCCTCCATCACCTCTGGGGTGGTGTTGGCTGGGCTGGAACTGCTTATTAGAGATAGTAATAGTCTTTGTGTGTCATGGTAATGGGCAGGTGGTTTCAAAAGAGACATATACATAAGGATGGAGAGAGGATGCTGTGCAAGCATAGGCAGCATAGTCCAGAGGGAAAACAAGGAAGATGATGGTGGATGTACCCCAGAAAGAACTTCAGGTCACTGCTTGTGTCTCATTAACCTTGGGATAACGCATCTGTGAGCAAGCAAGCTACAAGAAACCAGGCTTTGAATGTATTGTACTGTCATCTTTCAAAGAATATTTTCTTCAGTTTTTAGAACTGAAAGCAGAAACAGCTGGTATTGCACAGCCTTCGTACAGTTCATAAGGTACCATAGGTATTTGGTAGTTCCTTAATTATTTGTTTTAGAAACCATCAATCTTGTCTGTTTCACATTTCCAACTTGATGCCTTTGAATTCTATTTTAGCTTACATTTCACTTTTTCCTTTTATATTTATGCCACTCTAGATTCCATTTTTCTGAATCAAAGTGAAAAAGAAATTCTTTCAATTAGAAAGAACCTGCTGTAAAATAGAGTTCTGAAAAATTGAAGCAGGGGGAAAATATCCTGTATTTATTTGTCAAATATAGGCCTATTGATATGGGCATAGAGATAGTCTGGTCTCATGTCTTTTAGCAGAGGCTAGTCTTTGGGGAATAAAAATAATATTTCTGTATCAAATTCATAAAGAGAATTTAATATCTAATATTTTATATTTTAGCATTTTGTTTGAGGATTGCCTTGACACCCATGATAAGAAACTCAATTCCTTTGTGCTGCGTTGGTGCTTGAAAGAGGCTAGGAAGAGAAGAACCATTCTCTTCATGTCCTCTTCAACTTCTAGGAGGTCTTCTTCCTCTCCCTCCTTTTCTCTACTAGGGGTAGGAATTTATAGATGAGGGATGGGTGTGTGAATACCTTGTTTATTTATGTCCTGCATACTAGCAGCAGAGATGAAGATAATAGGGACGTAAGAATATCACACATGCCAGTTTAATTCAGCTGCTTATTCCCTTTACTGCATATAGTTTCCTGAAAATGATCAAACTCTGGTAGAAGTTATGCTTGCCTTTTCAAATGTAGATGGTACGATCCACCTGTAAAGTGACTGCAAAGAAAAAAAAGTTCTTTCTATTATCAGACTGACAACTTTACGTTGTGTTTTGAACTAGGCAAATATTAGTATTATAAAATCAGTACTTAAATAGGATTATAGAATTATCATATATGGATATCTTTAGTGTAGATATCTGAAGTGTTAGAAATCATGTCTTGAGTTCAAGTTGGCTTGTTTTTTCAGAATTAAACACTTGATCCTTGAAACAAATTTCATCTCAGAGATCAAAATGACATTACTGAAGAGTTTGTCTATTCGTCTTAGTATTTGGTAACACCAATCTGGATTCATACTTAATGATGTGCGTGGTGTTTGGCTTTGGATTTTTTGTTCTGTATCTTCCAAGTACTTGCAAGGTGGTTTGCTTAGTATGTGAGAGAGCTGCCTGTTAGGTATTATCCTTTACTCCTCCCAGTCTTGTGATAACCTTTGAAAAGCCTGATTTTGGCATTGTTTGCTGCCAGGCTTCTGCTCAGGTCAAGTATCCATTAAAACCCAACAACTCCTCCTTCCCCCTAAGACTCAGTAAATTCACTGTTGAATCCTAATCCATAGCCATTAGCTCTGATTTTTATAAGAACAGTGAAGAGACTCCTAATATCTTTTACTTCTTGCCAGCTACTTGCTCTTTGGATAGGTTTCTTATGGTGTGGAAGCTGAAGACACGATGCAGAGCTTACAGATTTGTAGGCCATGTGGAAGCAGTGACCAGTGTAGAGTTCTCACCAGATGGGCAGCTACTGGCTTCATCTTCTCAAGATCGTACTGTCAGACTATGGGTTCCTTGCATGTGAGTATAACCTGGCAATGTTACGGTATGTGTTTCATTGAAGTGCAATGTGAATACTGGAGTCTGCTCAAGAGAAGTTTCTTTTTCCTTCCCACATGCCTGGGCTTTGACAGAAACAGAGATCAGGGAGCACAAATAGCACAGTTCTTTACTGTGTTACTTTGTTCTTTACTGAATATGCTGTAGTTTCAAAAGAAAAATGTAGCAATTCAAAGGTCACAATTTCATGTGTGTAGGACTATGCCTGGTAGTATTTGTCTGGATTAAAGATTATATTTTAGTAAGGATTGCATGGCTGCACTTCATTTTGGGGAGAGAAGTGATGAAGGAAGCAAAACGGCTTTTTGGAAAAAAACTGTTTTTAATCTACTTGCCTTATTACACTGTTCTTAAATAGTAGTGATTATAAGCAATTCGAAATGATCGTAGAAAAACAGATGTTACTTTAACTTTTAAGCATTTTGTAGATTACTGTATAAAAAATTCTCTTTTAAATATTAATGCTAATGGTACTAAAGGTTAATGCTTCTAGTTATTTGCACAGTTCTCTAAAATTGTGTCATATTAAATGCAATTTAAGGAATGTTATTCTAATAATTAATATTGGAATAAGTAAAAAAATAATGGTGACACTAAGATTTAGCCTCTATATGCTGCTTTTTCATTTGGGTGAGATTCTAAATATGTTAACATTGAGTTTTATGGGGTTTTAAACTCTTTAATATAATTGTGATTCATGACTTGGTGTTTGGGGTTTTGTTTCTTTTCCCCCTACCCCCTTAGTCATGGAGAATCATCAGTATTGAAAGGTCATACAGCATCTGTTCGTAGTGTGAGCTTCTCCCATGATGGCTGCTCTCTAGTTTCAGCATCCAATGATAAATCAATAAAAATATGGAGTGTTTGCAGTCAGCGCCTTTTGTTTACCCTATTCCAACACACTCATTGGGTTCTCTGTGCCAAGTAAGTGTTATTTTTATTCTCTTGGTAAAGTAGAAGAACTCCTAACAAGGTGTTTTTATGTCCCAAGGTAGAACTAAGGGAAGAAAAATCTGTGAAAGACAAATGATTATCTATCAGTAATAATTAAATTTTAATCAAGCAATCTTATTTACACAAGTTTTGTATATATGTCCTAGTTGAAGTATGAAAGCTTGCTCTGTGTTAATGTGTACATATTAAATCTGTTGCTGTATATTAATTCTTTTACTTTAAAGGACCAACATGGTCTTCTGTATCCCGTCTTTCCCCAGTCATGTTTGTTTTCATGCTGTATTAACTTATTTCACAGCATTCACTTGTTTTTAGATTTATTATGCGTGGTAAGGGTTTTCTCAACTATTCTTGTTCTTTGCTGGTTTTCCTTTTCCTTTTTACCATATTGATGGGCAGTTTGCAGCTAAGAGATGCCTGATTTAAACCTCTTGAGAAAAAAACCCTGGTGAAGTGCAGAGCCCTACAAAGTTTCAAAGTATCCGATTGTTGAAAAGAAAAAGAAAAGCTCTAGGAAATCACATGTGGAAGTTCTTGAACAGTTTTCTAATGTCCTTGTGCAGTTGCTCAAGATGTGAAAAAATAATGCTTGAGGAAATTCTACACAAATCAGTTTTACTATTTAAAAACCTAGTCTACTAGTCTAGGAGTAATTGTGAATGCTTTGCTAACAATTTGTAAGTCTAGGGGGAACTCAGAGGAGAACATATATGTAGGTTAAAATGGAACACAAGGTTCTACTGTGTCCTCTTTGTCTTTTGCCTATAGTTTTCTATAGTAATATCCTCGGCATCTAAAGTGACATCCTTGGGCTGCTGCTACCTTCCTCCCCTATCCCTCTCTTTCTCTTGTTTATGGCTCTGTTTTTAATTGTAGTTGATTGTGAAATGAAGGGGGGAAGAGTAAGGGGAGAAGCTTTTCAGTTTTATTACTCCCTGAGAAATATGAGACATTCAAATGTCCTTTAAATGTTACACATCTTTATTTCAAATGGGCTTTCTTGGCTCTGGTATTTTGCGACTTATGTCTCTAATGCTCATCTAGGTAGTATCAGCTGTTTAATAATGTATTCACTTGCATGTTCCAGATTTTCACCTGATGGAAGAATAATAGCATCTTGCAGTGAGGATAAATCTGTTAAGATCTGGGATACAAGAAATAAAACTTGTATTAATAGCTTCTCAGATTATGAAGGGTAAGTGTTACTAGAAAAAAAGGAGGAATGTAAATGTGTCATTTTAATGAGATTAAATGCACCTTCTGTGGTATTAACATCTGTATATGTTAAATCTGAAAATAGATCAAACTTCTACCATCCACGTGAAGTAAAATAATTCATATAGAGTCCTTCTAAAGAGGTTAACTGGCTGCACTTATCCAGCTCTTTTCCAGCAATCAAGAAATAGTCCGGGCAGAAGTGGGGTTATTCTTGGATTTTTGGAATGTTTTCATGTTTTCCCTCCATTTTAATAATGCTATTTGATATTGGATGCTTCAACAAGAAGAAAAGTTGGAGAATTTTCCATTTGTTGATGAAAACAATATTCTATTAGCTTCAGTGATCTGCCTTCTTTAAATATAAAAAATACTTGCTTTTACTTATATGCAGTTTTCTTAAACATCTTGGAAACAGAGCTTTAACAAGTCAGTGGAATATATATCTTGTATATGTGCTTTGCTGGTTTCATGGCTGCCTTCATCCTTTTTACTAATTTAAAATATTGTTATAGCTAGATATTCAGTTTTTAGACATAATTATTTTACTTGTTGCTTACAAACTCTTTGCAGCACTATCTTCTAGGGACTTTATACTCCAGCACAAACTCTGAAGATTTGAGTTGGGTCAATTATACTATATTTTCAACAAAAGCCACATTATACAGTCTGATTTATCAAGCACGTCTTGTTTTCTTATGCTTATTTCAGTTACTTGAAATACCTTGAGTTTCCATACATGTGGATTTCACACAAGTTTTTGGCGACTTAATGTTAATATTGTGGGGTTTATATATATATATAGACCTAAATATTTCTATGGAAACACATAATCAATCTGTTTTCATTAATTATATTTAGATTTGTAAATTTTGTGGATTTCAACCCAAGTGGAACGTGTATAGTTTCTGCAGGTTCCAATCATACAGTGAAACTGTGGGATATTCGAATAAACAAGCTACTGCAGCATTTCAAAGGTAAAAGCAATGTAGTTAGTTTCACTTTCTTTATAAGAGAGCTCTTTGCAATGAAATGTGATTTATTAAGAGTATATTATTTCGTTCCTTACTGGGAAAAGTGGACAAACAAGTCATATTGGCATATTGTAAGTATCTTCTTGTAGTCTCACAACCCTAAAAATCCAATCTGAATCCTTTTTATTTCTTTGCATCTCTTAATTTTTCGAACAGAACTAAGAAAATACTTTGGAGAGTCTGCTATGCCCCAGCACTTTGGTTGTTTTTTCCTTGAATGAAGAGGGCTGTTCTTCGGGAAGTAGAAAAGAGCAAAGAAATAAAGTGTACATTTCTTCTTAGTAGATATCTACAGCCTTTGAATATTGTCTTCTGTAAATTAGTTCACAGAGCAGGGGTTAACTGTGTATCATTCCATCCTTCTGGTAACTACCTCATCACTGCTTCTACTGATGGTACCCTTAAGATTCTGGACCTCTTAGAAGAAAGACTTATTTACACTCTCCATGGACACAAGGTATACACAATAATCCCCTTTAAGTGGAGATCTTAACAGATTGTTCAGTATCTTTTCAAAGAGAAAGTAACGTTTATGCTGTTGTGTCTGGTATCTTACAACTTGTGGATGAACTTTAGTGGACAGCAAGATGTTGTATTAATGCACCTTATTACAAGTGGTTAAGGATATGCATCGGTTTTACCTGTAGCCATGCTTTTTATCTGTCAGTGTTACATGCTTAATGTTAAGTAATAACTCATGTTCTGAATTAATTAAAAATCCACTCTTGATTTTCATAATCATGTTATTTGGCACTTAGTCTTTTTGTCTGTTGAAAAACAGTGCTTTCTAAGGAGGGGGAAGCTTACAGAAGCCAACTTTGGTGAAGAATGGCAGGCATTTCCTCCCTTTCCTCTTATGCAAAACAAACCGTATTTTTGATAATGAATTAAACACATAGCCTTGAGCAATATAATATATATTTTGTAATTTTTTGTTGCAGAGTTGAAGTATAAAATCTAATGAAAATGCCACTATTTTCCTAGTATTGATTATAGTAATTGTAATGCAGCATCTAACTAAAAAGTGCAATATTAACTCTTCAATGAAATTGTTTGGCAAAAATTTCACTTCAGTAAAATTGTTCCTTATTTTATTAAAATTGAAAAGTATGTTATAGTAGGTAATGGCATCAATGTTTTTCTCTTTGCATTAAAGTACCATGATTACAGTAATAATGTAATTTTACTGTATGCCTTTTTTTTTCCCCAGGGACCTGTACTTTCTGTGGCTTTTTCAAAAGGTGGTGAAAAATTTGCCTCAGGTGGAGCAGATGCTCAGGTTTGTGACATTGTCTCTTTAAATTGAATATCTTAATGTTTGTTGCAGTGGATGGGCGTTATATATAGTATGTCACAGTAACATGCTAATTACAGTGTGCTCACATGCATTCTGCCTACTAGTGTGTTATATAGACTTTCCACTGGATGTTATGATGAGGAGTAGACGACAATATTGGCCACTTCTATTTTGAATATTAAAATAAAGGAATGATTTTTAAATAAAAATACTTTAAGTGTTGCAATTCAGTGTCAACAAAGTAGTTGTGTTGCAGTTAGTATTAAGGCCTAGCTGCTCCGTTAGGTTTTGGCTTCTTTTAAAGTCCGTACTCTGTAATTGTAAGAATTAAGTTGTATTACTGGGAAAACTTTGACTAGAATTGGGGAAAAATAGTCCTGTGTTAGCTTTGCTAATTTGCTTCAGTGAAACAGTGAAGTAATGGATTTTACATAGGGAAGAGTTGTTTGAGCATTTAAAATAAAAAAGATAAATTAAACAGCAAGTCAGATAATGAATCTTCATCTGCTGTGATGAATCTCACAATTAAAAAAATATTATCAAGCTTGGAATCATCTCTATCAGGTCTTTATATTTTCCAAATGAAAGAACTTTTGTAGCACTAGGCTTAAATTTTCAGTGTGAAATGTTCCCTAATATTAGTTGTCTTTTCCATTGTTTCCTGTTACAAAAAGCTAAAAGCTCAATGTAGATACAGAAAGCCATGATGTAGAAATTAAGAACTTTTGAATTTACCATGATTCATGCTTATATTCTGTTTCGTGGAGCTTGAAATAAATTTCAGCTATTGAAATAATAAATATTTCCAATTAAAAACTTCCGTAACATTAGAAAAAATGCAGTCTGTTTCTTGTTTTTACTTATTGCTTCCAGTAGCACACTTTTCTGGAATGACTTGAAAGCACTCAAAGAAAAAGAAAAAAAAATTTGCTTTCTGTCACAAGGTGTTTATTAAGAAGCACTGCCAAGATTTGCAGTCACTGGAAAAGTGAAAATGTTGTCAAACTTCTAACAGTAATTTTACAAGTGGAAAAAAACCCCAAACAAAACAGAAAACCCCAAACAGCTAAAAACTGCCCAAACAACCAAAAGAAAAAACAAACCCAAGAACCAGGGAAAGAGATTTATTTCTTCACTCACTAATAGAATCTTTTCTTTTCCATACTAAAGTTTTTAATAAGATTTTTTTTTTAAATTACAAAATGCAACTTAGATTCCCAAGTAATTCTGAATTGTTGACCTTACCTTTCATGAGTACTTCATTTGAGTTTTATGATGATTTGTATATTATACGTAACTTGAGAGGAAACAAAGTGCATGTATTAAACTCGGTCACATAACTGAAGAGTTATCTGGAAGCTCTGATGATGGAAAGGACCTATTGCGTTAAGCCTAACACAACCTCCCAGTTGGATGCCAGCATGCCCTGGGAGTGCCTGTCTTATTTCAAACTTCCTTTGAATTTGGGGCACCCTGAATGAACAGGCATGTTCAGTGCAGTCATGTCATTGCCTTTCTCCTGCCCTGGTTCCATGCTGTAGAGCTGGTGGTGCACAGAATCATGGAGAGAGTAGGTAAAAATTTATAAGATGCTCATGTTTCTCAGCAGTTTGATGTAGTGGTTTCATGCTGAATGCAAGAGAAGGAAGATCCAGTTTCACCAGGAAGCACTTTCTTAGTTAAATGTTGAATTAAAAAAGTAGTCTTAGTAGTCTGATAATGAATCCTGGGTTTAGTTACCTTAAAAAGAGGCATTCCTGCATTTGTTGAAGTTTTTCCCTTTGTTTTATGCAAGGTTTGGTGGGAGAGGGCTACTTATTTTGGTGTAGTTTTTACTTTTCTAAGTTTAAAATGTTCATTGCTAACCACTGAGGTAACTACCAGTGTGTATATCTTTATCTATAAAGTAAACATAAGAACTTTATTCTTTGGTGTTCATTTTCTGTTGGTGTATACGCACATGTATTCCACAAACATCCTATTTTGCTGATCTGTCCACAACCCTTTTCCAGGTCTGCCAGGAGAATAGTTGTGGGACTTCTTGACTCACTCTGTTGGTTTACTGTAAATATAGGATGTGTTATGGTTTGGTTTCCTGGAATATCTATAAGACTGAACGGATAGAACATCTTTGGACTACCTCTCCATTCCGTGACCTCACTTCTGCTTTTGGCCGTTGTGTGACTGTTGTATATTGTTTCTGCCTAGAGTATAATTGGACAAGGTTCAGAAAACAGATTCCTGATGCTAAAACACTGGAACCAGGTGTTTTAGTGTTCTGTGGAACTCTGTCATTTCTCTTATGCCCTCAAACTTTCTTATTAGACTTGCAAGCCTTTATATGGGGCAGAAACTTAACGGTGTATGACCACTTGATTTGTCAGAAAAATAACTTGGTCCAGTGGGACAGAAGTTTCCTTTGGTTTATGATTATGGACATATTTTAGAATTGTTTGTTTTTTTTTTTAATACACTGAACCACATCTTTTAGACTTGAAGTACAAGATACTCTGGGGAAGTGCCTGTGTTGTAGAGATCAGACTAAGTGATCACTGCAGGCTTATTCTGATGTAGTGCTCTATTAGTAATAACAGACTTCACTCAATAGTTATGTTTTGAGCACTGAATAGGCTTCTAGTAGTTACTGATATGATGGTTTCTTACAGGTATTACTATGGAAAACCAACTTTGATTCTTTTGATTATAAAGAAGTTCTTAAACACAATTTTAGAAGAACACATATTGATGAACCTCCTCATCTTCTTGATATTTACCCGAGATCACCTCATCTCCATGATGAAAAACTTCAGTCAGTTGAGGTGAGTGCAATAAGTTATCTAATATAGGAAGCCAGAAGCTTTTGTACAGGCTGTCTGGCATTTATAGTTAAATGTGTTCTATGTATACCAGAGAGCTTTTTATTGTTACGTATAATACTTTGGGAGCAACCATAATTTATGAATCCACATTAAGTTTACTAGACTAGCTGATGCTGTCAGATTTATGCTGAAATTCCTTTCATGCTTCTAATATAAGTCTGTACATCTGATTTAGAAAAAACATAGATGATGATCTGGTTTGTGAAGTAACTTGGCAAGTGTTGCAGAAGGTATCTAAATCTGCATTGAGCTTTAGAATACTAATCAAAATACATCATTATAAGCAGGACAAAGTGACATTATTACTGAAAGTCAAATATTTGATTGTAACAAGTTGTTCCTCTTTCCAAGACCATTAGGTATCATGAGAAGATCTTGATATCTATCTAAAAGTTTAGAAAGACTTTATAGGTTAGTGGTTTGTTTTATGTCACTATGTAGTCTGATTTCATGATAACTTCATTATTGAACTACTCAAAGCATCTACTGGCATCCCTTGGAAGTACTGGAAATTTGGGAACCAAAGTGAAATATCAAATATTCTGTTTCATTATCTGGAAAAATCCTGTTTGTCACATTGTCTAAAAGCAGATTGGTAAAAAGTACTATGCCTTCAATGAGGCCATTGTTTATGCTATACTTGTGACTGTCCTTGATAGAGCTGGCTAGCTTCTGCATGGTGATTACCTGTACTTTTATCTCTTTTTTTTATTTTGTCTGGGTGCCTCTAGTGTGGAAGAAGTGTCTCACAGATAAATCTTGGGACTTTTTGGTTGCTGTCATATACTATCATAGGACTATAGAAATTCACCATTACCTGGTTGTGTTCATATAAAATGTAGATACTGCTGCCATGGCATTTGTTTCTTGCTCAGAGTTTTAAAACATTGACATTTGGGGATACTGAGCTTTTTTTTTGGTGGGCGGGTACGTATGCAATATAAATATATGTAATATGAATAGTATAACGATGGCAAACACTTTGGTGGAGGAGGAGAACTCTGATAGAATTCATCACTGAGATTTCTCATGTGCCTGGTTCTATTGTCATGTTGGATGTGGAGCTTTCTAATGCTTAGCATTTTGGTCAGAACAAGAACAGGATGACTGCATGTATGACAAGCTTCATAAACAAGCTTCTGTGCTGGACTTTGATATTCATTGAAATTCAGTGGATGAAGTTAAGTTTGCTGGTACCAACCTTCAGTATAGTTGGTCAGTGCCAGAACAAACTCTATCACAGCATTTACCAGCAGATTTAAGCCACTCTTGCTGTATCAACAGTTTGCTTCAAGACCCATTCAAATTGCACCCAGTTATAACATGTGCTAAGTAAACAGTAGCTTATAGCTGCAGGGTTCGGTTGCTTTCTGTTCAGGTCAGTGTTTCCAGACCTCTGCTGCTCAGATGCCTGGCAAAGATGTGAATGTACTCTAAAGCAATTTTTGAGGTTTTTTTCCTATTCCTGATCCCAGGTAATTGAGAAGCTCTGAAAAAGCTTTAATGAGTTCAGGCTAAAGTTAAACTAAGGCTAGGAAGCACCTCTTTGTCAATACTGAAAGGGCACATCAGGGAAATTTGATAGTTGAATGTCAAGAAATTATTTATCAGTTAGTTTTGACAGATTCACTTAACCTAATGTCTGCATTTATTCATAGGTGCTCCATAGTAGTGAAGGGCTCTATGGCTTTGACATTTGTCATAGCAAAGTTTTGGGCTCTTTGTGGTTTATTTTCTGGCCTGATTTCAGGATTTTAGGAATAGGGTTGTTGTGTTTAGTTTTCTATTAACATCACTGTCAGTGATGTTAATAGAAAACATCACAGTCAGTAGAATATCTTTCTCTCAAATAAACATGAAGTATATTATATTCTTTGAGACAAAACAGTGTCTGATAGTTCCACAAAACTCATATTATTGTAATGTACTATATTCTTATATATGTAAATTAAATATTATAGTAGTAGTGATTAGGATCTCTCTTACAGCTAATTTTCAGAATTAATGTAATAATACAGTAATTTAGACAAAGTTAAGGTGAAGTTACTAAGTTCTGTTTCTCCGTATGTCTTTTCCTGTTTTTTTAATTGCCTCTCCTGTCTACGAAGGGGATATTTGTTATGGTGAGGAAGAATAGACCTTACCAACTGGACAGAAACATAATTTATCCGGACAAAACTAGCATCAGGTTACTACCAGCAGTAATATGCTTTAGTGGCACTAACTGTGCTTGAAATTTTTCGGTGTTCCATCATCTTAAATATTTCCTCTTGTAAATGAGAAAAAGCATCATGTCTAGCCCCACTGTGCTATGCTGTACTCTGGATAAGAAAAGAAAAATTTGTCCTTCTTTGGTTAAAACTTGTTACTTTTTTAATACCTCAACCTCTTTCTAAGGTTGAGGCAATAGACAGAATTTTGACATTAGGCAGTTCCACCACAGTATCACCCTCATCTTTCAGTGGCTCATCGTGTTTCTCATATATAAGGGAAAGGAGGGATTGAATCACAGATGTGTCAGAGTGAGTTTTTGGAGGTCAACTGTTCTTCTTGTTAATGGTACATAAAGTCAGCTGTGTCTAGTTAGAAGGCCTTGAAGAAAGATGGAGATTCCCCAGTCTTTTTGGGTGATCTATTCCACTACAGTACAGCAATTGTAATGACACAGTTTTTCCTGGTATCTGCACCTCAGATAATATGCAGAACTGTTTCCTTTCTCTTTATTTTCTTCCTTTCTCTTCATATTTCTGTGAATGGGGTAAGATAATCGATCTTAACTAAATGGAAGTAACAGTTTTCTAAGAGACTTGGTAACATATGCAAGAATTACAGGCAGGCAGAAGAGGCAGTTCAGATATGGGATATTTAAAAGCATCGATGACCATTTAAGGTTTGCTACAAGACACTACGTTATCTAGACATTTGAGATGTGTTATAATGCATTGCCCTGAGTTATGCTTTGATGGTTTCTTTGGCTGGCATCAGAGACACAGTGCAGTGTTTTCCCACATCACCTGTTGGAAATGCTGTTTTGAATAAAGCAGCTTGCACAAGGGCGTTAAGAATTACAGGTATCACCTGGTGTCTTGCCTTTCAGGATAGTGACAGAAACGTGGAGCAAGTGTGTACTTTCACCTTTTCTCAAAACTTTTATTCACTCTTCCAAACTATACATGGAGCCATTAGTATTTGAGTCACCTTCCCTAGTTTGTTTTTTTTTGTTGCTTTGTTTTGTTTTGTTTTGTTTTTCTCTCTCTCTACATACCTGGGGTTTTTTGACACATAATTAACTTTTACAAGAACTCCTCCTCCTCAGACCTGCAGTAGCCTGAATTTTAATGAAGTGTTGAATTTCCTGTTCTTGACTTATAAATCTTTACAACTCTTCTCCAACTGCACTGATCAATGTGATTTCTTGAATATTTGAGTAAGTAGAGATTTAATGCTTATAATCATTACAATTATTCAGACTACTTGGAAATGTAAGTAAATTACTTGTTCTCTGAAGGCACCTACTTTTTTTTTCTGTTGACCACAGAGGTAATCTTGGGTGACCAGCTCAAATATAGATGTCCAGCAGTATGTCAAATTTAGCTGAGATAAATCCCAGTCATTGTATCTCTTTGACATAAGGATCTTTTGGAGTTATTTGAAAACAGTATGTTTAAACAGTAATGCAGTTTTAGTGAAAAATACTAAAAAATGCATTCCACTAGGTGACAGTTCTATTTATGAATTTGTCATATTTGTACATAATTTACCTTTTATAATCTAGAGACCTCTTTAAAATAAATGGAAGGTAGAAAAAAAGAGTTTCCTTTCAAAACATAGCTTTGAGATTTGAACAGTATTAAGGTACATGGAGTTTATATCTTGAGCATAAATAGCTTCTGTTGATTTAGTTCGTGGTTTTTTTTTAATCTTAAAATCTTCAGTTAGAGCCTTCCCAAATCTTCGTTCGCGAAGCCTAGCCATGAAAAATCTTCAGTGTAATTTCAGTTGTAAATATTTTCCTAGGTGAAGGAAATCCAAATATACGCTAGGTGGCAGTAGAAAAAAGAACATATGGCTCGCTTGGCTTGAGGGCTCCAGTCTAGAACAAAAACGGTGTTTAATGAAATTGAATGCTAATTTGCTCTTGGTATGTTTGGAGAGACTATTTCACATCACTTTCCTAGGAAATACTTTGTGTGAGAACTTCCTCTTTTAATTTTATTGACTTCATTTTTCTAATGCATGGAAGGATTTATAGAAACCTTCCTTCAAATATATTTTCTTGTGCTATGGATCAAAATGTGATAATTGTATTATCATATTAAAAGATGATAATGAAAATACTTATATATCAGTCTACCAAGTAATTAAAGCATTTAAATATAAATTAAATTTAAATTGAAAACCTTTAATACATGACAGTTCTCCCTACCTTGCTTTTTAGTGTTCTGGTTTTTCTGTCTTGTTTCTTAAAGTTAAATCTTTCCAAATATGTTTGGTAGGATTATTTTACAGCTAACTACATCACCTTGTTAGGAAATGTCAAGTCATTTGAAACTTTCACGTTTAGAGTAATTCCATTATCTCATTAATTTTTAGTGCAACATTAAACACTAATATTTGTAAGAAGGGTTCATCTACAGCCTTCATGTTTTTGTGCTCATTTCTTTAGACACTTTTTAGATGCTCTGGCTAGTTGCTTAATAGTTTCATATTTAATTTTTTCAAATATTGTTTATGATAGTTCCTGCACCCCTAGTCAGTGTTTACAGTGCTCCTCATCATCCCCTTATCTCTGATAAAGCAGTAAGCAGAACTGTATGAAGAGGAACTTTCATTCCAAGTCCAGGATATGACACTTCCACATAAAGACCACATTTAGTAATACCATATATTTATTTAGCAACCTGTATCAAGAAAAGCATTTAACTCATTCTACAATATCTTTCACGTATATAAGAAGGAGATACCTCAAAGAGGATGTTTCAAGAGCTATTAGTAATAATACTACAGTAGCTCCTCCACATTAGAGTATTGATAAGTGGTAGGCATCTGTTATCCCTCTTCTGCAGAATCCGGCAGATGCATTGTCCTCTCTTCAGCACCCAAATGATTCATGCCAGAAAACTACTTTAGTCTTAGCTGCTCATAGTAGGATTGATACTCTGATAATGCATTAATTATATTTATTGCAGGACTGACTGAATGTCAGAAGCAAATGACCCTAGGCACTGAATAAATGTAAGCTCTTTGGGACAGTTGCTTGTTTAATCTCAATAGGCATGTCACGTATGGAGGGGAAAAAAGTAAAATTTGTGGTTCCTCTCTGCTTTGCTTTAGCACTGATAAAGTGGTAATCAATACCATATTCAGAGGAGACTATGTCTGATCATATTTCTGTTGAGAAGATGCTTTCATTCTCCTTTATCCCTTTATTTCTTCCAAATCTATTTGAGAAAATTGGAAGAAAGCAGGACTTGATCCTAATATCTGTATATGAGGGAGAAGATCCTAATATCTACAAATGAGGGAGAATTTTAAGTATGCAGCTTGTGATGGCCCTGTAGCAGTATGGGTTTTCTTGATTGTCCCTGAGTCCCTGCTCATTCTTGATTGATGCAAATATAATCTGAAGACAGAAAAAAAGAGTTCATGAATGAAGAATGGCTTGTTGAAACTGAATGAGAGAAAAAGCTAGTCAGAAAAGTGAACAAGCTTAAAAACAGAATTAAGATCTCCCCTTAAGGAAAGCTTGTCATCTCTGATTTGTAAGTGCTGCAAAGCGTGATAATCTCTCTCACCTTGAGTAATCTGATAATATCTGTATTTAAATGTTTCTTTACCTTCTAACTTGCTAGTAAACTTTGTTTGTCTTCTTCCTCCATGTACACTTACTGAGGAATATCTTGCTTCTATTAATTTTAAGCTAAATTCTGCGTGTAACCTATGGAAATCCAAATGAACTGAATGAAAAGTCTTCAGGCACTACAAGATGTTATTGCCCTCCTTCCCTGGCTACTAATTCTGGATTTAAGATTGCATTCTAGTTACTTAACAAACATGTATCTGACCTAAAGGTCTGTATGCCAATGTGTGGACCCTAGCATCAGGGATTCTAACTTGTGGAAATAGCACTGAAGCAGTTACTGAGGGAGCAGCTCTGGCTGAGACAGAATTTTGACCGTCTTCAGGTGAAATGGTAGGATCTCCCACTTGAAAAGGCAAAATAAAATGACCCTTGTATCTAAGAAACTTTCAGTGACTAAAATACAACCTGTCACTAGGACAGTGTGAGTTTTGAGGGGTTTGTTTATTTTTTTCCACTTTCAGTATGTTGTTTGGAATTAATGCTCTTTCTGATAAGGCTGCTGTTGGATAGCTGATAAAAAGTTGAAAAGAAAAAAGTTCATTTCTCGTTATTACATTAGGCTTCTTGACAATTTGAAAGTCATCTAGTCTTTCTGTGAAATTTGCCAGTTTATAAAATAATGAGAATAGTACTTCTATAAGTCATACTGTGAAGGCAAACATCTTAGGCTGTGATACACCTAGATAATATAATGGTAGGGAAAATGTGCACAAATTTTTATAGGGAGGTTATTCTGATCCTTAGGTGAAACTGTAAGATAAATGAAAGCAGCAGCTTTCTCAAACTTTATATTATCTGATATTTTGTCAATGCTTCACTTTCAGGAAAGGACATTAGTAAAATATTTCTAAAGCTACAGAGTAAGTCCTATAACCAACAATGAGCAAGTAGTCCAACTGTGATATTAAAAGCAAAATTGCAGATGTTGTGATGAGATGTCTGATCAATCAGCCTCTGACATTGTCTCAGTATTTTCAGTAAGAGTGTGATTTGTATTTGGGTAGTTAACTTATCAGAGATTTCAGTGTGATCTCCTACCTGGTTTCCACAACGGTGTTTTTCAAGTTATTTTGGTAATCAAAGTTGGGACACAACAAGTAAGCATGTCAACAGTCTGTTTGTTGTAGATGACTTGAGGAACCTGAATGTGAGAACTGACTGACCTGGATTGTTAACTGTGTGCTCACTTTTTATTTCATTCTTATTTCCCTTTCTCTGCTGATGCTGAAATAATAGCATAATTCATTTTCAACAGGTTGACCCTACATATGATGTAACTGATATGCAAACACCTGATCCACCTGTCATAGAGATTAGAACCTCTTCATCTTTCAGTACTCTGGTAAGTTGCTTTAAAAAAAAAAAGATATGATATAGCTGTTATCAGAAATGTGCTCTTTCTGTCCATACGAATAAAATATTTCTTTTAACAATTGTCGAGTGCTCAGAGCTCAGTATCCTAAGCTTTCTGTCACAGTTCCCAAGCCTAACCAGAAGATGGTGTAATAGCAAAGCTTTCATGTTATTCTGTAATTTTACCCCATATAGACAGAAATTCTATTTGTAAGCCCATGCTAATTACATCTAAATATTACTGTTAAAATTTGTGGTTTATTCTCAAACACTTTTTGTAACTCTGTTTTTATCTGCAAATAACGGGAAATCTGAAGAATAACTGTCTCACTGATACAATTCCAGAAGTGCTGCTGTAATTTTTTTCCTTTTAAGGCATTTAATAGTTCTCTAGGAGGAAAAAAAGTAAGACATTTTAAGACAGAATATGATTAGAGCCTTCTGATGTTAGCTGTACGTATGACATTGGTATGGCACGTGGGAGGAAAGGAAGGCAATGTTTTAGCGGTGGTTTCGTAGGAGGACAAATATGCTCTCCTGGTATGAAATCTAAAAGACATGCTGTTCTAGAATTAGGTTAAAATGAGAATTTTTCTTTTAGCTCTGAATCTGGACCTGTGAAGGTATAAACTGTATCTTAAGCAATTTTAGTTACCATAAAAAGAGTTTGTGTGGTTGAAGGGTTAATACGTATGAATAGGCAGCAGGTGTGTTTTCTGCTGTTCTGTTTTGTCATGAATGCTTTGTGAAAGGTATGTTGTGAAGGTACTATATAAAATTCTTTAGGTTCAAGATAGAGAGGTTGATGACAAACCTTTACTTCAAAACAACTAATCATATAATAATTTATATTTGAGAAGTGATAATTTAATGTATTTTAATTAGCATTTGTTTTGTTGTGTTTTCACAATGGACATGAGGTTCTTTAAGATAATGTATGTCAAAAGTAATTTGTAGACTTACAGACATCTAGTAGGCTTGACTGGTAGTGGATTGTGGTGCATATAATTTATTGACTACCTATCACTTTTAAATACTCTGTTCATTACTTACTGCTCATCACAAAATTCAAATGTATAGTTATACTGTAATTCTTTATTACATAAATATAAAATCCGTCAATTACTTAGTCTCCATTAATTCTTTTAATATGAAAGCAGTTTACAAAATTTTGCCCAGAACTCATTGTAGGAATATGTTGACCAAATAGATACATTGTTTTGACTGCTATCTATCTGGCTTTACAATCTTCATTATAAAAATGTTGCTTCTAAATGCATGCCTTTTGACTGTGTCAATAATCATTACCTTTTTTTTTTCCCAATATCTTAATCTACTGTTCGTCATTGATTCTCACCTTTCTTCATTTCAACATCACCGTCTGCATCTTTTTCCATCTAGAAATATTTCTGTATCTTTGTTACATGGACTGCAGCCTTAAAGACAACTGTCCTGTTCCACACCACTATTGACACAAATTCAGGAATCATTTGCATGTTTTCCTTGCCACTAGTATCCTTCCTCTCCCATAGTCATTAACACTTTCTCCAACTTTGCCAGCCTACCTGGTCCTCCCTGCTTTCTAATGCCAACTCATCTTTTAGTGTCATCTTTCTGTCCATTGTCTGTCTGCTGCATTACCAGTGTCTGCTGTTTGTGGAATAATCACCTGTTTTTTAATCAGACCAGCCATCTAGACCTCTGTGTCTTGTTTCTAAAGGGTTCTGGATCTCAGTGACTTGGACCTTTTCATCTGAAGCTGGTTCAATTTTCCTAATGTATGGAGGCCCCATCTATAGAGGCTTGATGTGTTCTTCATAAGAAACAAGGGGGAAGGACAGATGCTGGATTTCGTCCAATCACACCTTCACTGCCAGATTTCCTCTTGATACAGTTTGTCCTCACTTGAATGATATTGCTTTTGTGCATTATTTGTGTATTTTTTTTAATCCTTCTCTAACCTGAGGTTGCCAGATGGTAGTCTAATTCACCATCTTCCCTAATTCATGCCTCTCTCTGATTCCAACCCCAGTGGGTTGCTCTTTTTCTACTGATTATCAAAGGCAATCATTCTGCAGGGTTTTTTTTTCCCAGCAAACATACCAAGACCCATTTTAAAGCTGTTTATGGCTTTTTGGTCCTACTTCTACTGAAAGAACACTGTTCAAATGACTAAAAGCCTTTGATCAGGTTGACAGGTTAATTTATAAATGTTCTGTCTATACCTACTTATTCTTTTTGAAGTGTTTTGCTCTAGCTTAAGGAGTTCTTCTGCCCTTCTAGTATTTGCAGTGAGAAAAATGCACTCTGCACTTAGATATCTTTAGGGGTTCTTGTTCAATGTATTTATCATGCATGTAATGCAGCAGGGTCTTAAAAATACATTGGCAAGTCTCTAGACCACTGGAAATAGCTAATCAACATATTTAATTTTTCTACTGAAGAAGAGAGAGACAGCCTTTATTAGATCATAGTCTCGAAGTATTTAAAGACTCACAGTTTCTCTGGAATAAGTAACAACACTGAAGCTTTTGTAGGTTCTTTGTTGATCTCCCTGAGATGTCTTCAGGAAGATTGGAAGCCTATGCAAAACCTTGCAGTGTTTCATTGAATAGCTATCAAAATTTCTGCCAGTAAGCGGGCAAGTGTCCATACGTCTCAATCTAGTCTCAATCCAGGAAATAAGAGAAAGTGCTCTTCTTATTGAGAATCTTTTCTTCAGCTGGAATTATGTTCTGTCCTACCGCTTTATGGGAAATATGCTGTTACTGCCCCTGAGATGACTTGTGACAGAGCAAAAAGGTATTACTTTTCTTCCCTTCAGTAAAGATTTGTTAATGAAAATGATAGAGTAGTATAAATTGAGAGGTATGCCTGGAGTCCTTTCATCTAACCTTTCCCTTGAAGCAAGGCCAACTTGGATCAAGTTCTTGAAAGCCTTGTCCAGTTCATATGTTAATAATGTGCAAGAATGGAGATTCCACCATCTTTCTGGGCAGCTTGCTCTAGTGTTTGATTGATGACAATATTTTTTTTTTCATAATATGTAACTAGAATATCCTATTTTCCAACATGTCTGTTACGTGTAATTCACAGTGGTCCTCTAATAAGTATCTATATCTGTCTTCTTTCTATCCACCCATTAGATATTTGGGATGGCAGCAAGATCTCCATGTATCCTTTCTTCCTTGAGGCTGAACAAACCTGGTTATCTGCCTCTGCTTGTATATCATGTGTTCCAGCCCCTTCACCATCTTGTTCACCCTCCACTGGACTTGCTCCAGGATGACAATGTCTATCTGGGATGAAGAAGACCAAAACAGGACGCACAACTCCATACGTTTAAGGTGCAGTGAAGTATCACTGTCATCTATTCTTTACAATAGTCTGCCTGGAGAAGACTTGTAAAACAAGTATTTAAAAATTTAACACTCTCGATTCTTTATTATGAATTTAAAATATATGTTTAGATATTTTCTTAGCAGTCCATTTATATTTTTGAGCTGTAGCTGTATGAAAAAATTACTGGTATTTATCTCTTCCTCCCACTCCTCCTCCTCTTTTTAAGGAATTTTAATTTCTTGCTTCATCAAAACCAACAATTCATCACAGCTTCCCCACTTGAAATGCCTACTTACATGTTTTTTTAAATTTAGTTGTATTTTCTTGCTTCAAAGATTAAGCTAAGATATGCAGATACGAATGTTCTCATAGAGATTTTGCTAGAAAACAATTAAATTATTGAACTACCTGAATTGTAAACAGCTTATCTTTTCAGCTTGTGTTCTAGCTTAGTTCTAAGGCCAAATCTTTTTGAACATGATGAAAAAACCTTTTTTCATCTCAGATTTACACTTGATGCAAATGCCTTTTTAAACTTAGTGAAGGGAATGTGGTCGTTGTGTCAGTGGAAAAAAACTTCAATGTGATCTTCATATGGAGTTGCTTTCTTTTGGGCTACAATTAGAAAAGCATTAAGAACCTCCTGTATATTATTATGGTTAGGAAATAGCTTTGAATTTGATGATTCATTTATTCACTTCTCCTGTGTATTCCTGAAACCAGTGTAAAAATGAGCCATGGATGCTTAGGTAACTAGTATGTGTGCAATGCCCTGACTTCTCCTGTGGTAAGACTCTTAATATGTTGCAGTTACTAGAAATCATGCATATTCTAGCCTTTTGCACTCTGAAAATGTTCACTGAATTGGAGTCAAGGTTTGGGGTCTGGGGGTGGTGTTTCATTCTCCTTTCTGTTTCACTGAAGACTGAAAGCATTACTGCCTCTCTCCCACCCCTTCTTCTTTGTGTTTCAAGCAACTTAAGCTTAATTTCGGAACTATTGAAAAGGAAAAATTGGAAGTTTTGTTTCCCTTTGGGACTGTTTCCTCCTGTTTCATCCTCCAATTTTAGTTTTAGTCTTGAAGGAGCTTGGGTTTTTTCAGTTCTGTAAGGCGATACATTGGTAACCTCCAGTCCCTGATAAGCTGTTGGGAACAAGGGAAAGTTGATGGTGTCTGTAGTTTTTACTGACAGCAGCAGGAAATCACTGTAGAGGCTCTTTAATCTTCCATCCCCTGACCTTGCTCATGTAAACAGGATTTGGAGGAAGCAAAGCAATGTACTGTAATCTGGAAGTCAGAATGTCTGCGCTGGCTGGGAGATGTTTGCTGTTCTTTCTCTTCCAGTGCTGTTTAACACTGAAAACATGACATGCTTATTTTTTGTTTACAGTACAACTTCTACAAAGTTAAGACTGGATTAATTACTGAGTGAAGAAAGATAAGGATTGTTTCTGTTTGGATCAAAAAGAACATACTAAATTTTAGAATAAAAGGTTTATCTGTACTGTATTTGTAGTAGGTGTCTTGATGCAAAAAGTAGAAGTATCTGTACTCTCCATTTGTCCTGTACATGTTGCTTTTGCAGTATGTATTTCAGGGTTTAGGGTTTTTTTGACACACTGTTCTCTGTGTTTATTTTAAATACA